CAGAAAAAGAACTTTGGAGTCTGAATGCAGATGGAAGCATACTATTTGCTCTCCTTTTCTTCTGTTGTTTGTTTTGTCTCTTCTTTCTCATGGTTCCTCCCATTAGTTCTAATTCTTCTTTACACCATGACTAATGTGAAAATATGTTTAATATGAATGTTTAAGTAGAGCCTATATCAGATTGCATGCCATCTTGGGGAGGGGGGAGGAGAGGGAAGGAGAGAAAATTTAAAACTCAAAATCTTGTGGAAGTGAATGTTGAAAACCAAAAATGTAATTATTTTTAAAAAAGGAATGTGTGTTGAATTAAGTTGAATTGAATCACTTTTACATAGCCCTGGCAATGATTCCAAGTTGCTTCTCCTGGAAAAGTCCATCTCTTTCTTTCTTTTTTTTTTTTGAAAGTCCATCTTTTTCTAACCAATATTCTCTCAGTGATGCCATGGGACCAAGAGCTATGGAATACACCATTCTCAAAACAATTAAAATTACAACTGGCCCAAAGGACAATGGAAAAAGGTATGGTGAGTGAAAACAGGATGCAGCATATTACCAGAAATGATTACTTACCATTGTACAAGATGGAAATGAATGGATGGGCTGTGATCCACAGCCAGATTGATGAAATTCAGATCCATCAAATTACTGACATATACCCTGAATATACACAAATATGCATGTATATTTATTCTCATAAACAGATTATGTAACAGCAAAAAACTGAGAAATTCACAGCAATCACTGAACATCCAACATATTTATGCAGCTCATAGTTCAAAACCCTGTTGACTCTCCAACTTTGACTCTGCTAATACCTTTTGGCATAAGAGTTCATCACAAGGGAGGAATGAAAAGTGGAGATGACAAGGAAGGCTTAATATCAGACCCTGAAGGCCTTGTGTGCCAAGCCAAGAGATTTAGACTAAATCTTGTAGTCATTGAGGAGCTTTTACAATAGTTTTTCAATCAGGAGAATGACCTAAGTATAATCATAGAAGATTAATCTGATAATGGCTCACAGGATAGATTAGATGCCTTTTCTTTAAATTTAGATGGAATTGGTCGTCCTGTGGAGCCACCTATGGGCAGGGGAGTGATACAGCAGATGCATGGGTTTCAGGGCAAGCCAACAAGGGAGAGGAGACCCATATAGCCCTACCTCAGCCCCATACCAAAGAGAACAGCCCCAATGTATTTAGGGGAAGTCTTATTTCTTTCAGTTCCCCTCTCTCCAACCTCTTTGAAGGGCCCCATCTTTTTTTTTAAGTTTTTCTTATTAATTTATTTTAATTTATCAACAATCACTTCCATAAGCTTTTGAGTTTAAAATTTTTCTCCCCCTCCCTCCCTACCTCCCTCCCCAAGATGGCACGCAATCTGATATAGGCTCTATAAATACATTCCTTTTAAACATATTTTCACACTAGTCATATTATAAGGAAGAATTAGAACCAATAGGAGGAACCACAAGAAAGAGAAAACAAAACAAAACAGAAGAAAAAAATAGCAAATAGTATGCTTTGATCTGCATTCAAACTCCATAGTTCTTTCTTCGGGTGTGGATAGGATTTTCCATGATGAGACCTTTGGATATGGCTTAGATTTCTGCATTGCTGAGAAGGGCTAAGTCTATCAATGTTAGTCATCACACTACGTAGCTGTTACTGTGTACTATGTTTTCCTGGTTCTGCTCACTTCACTCAGCATCAGTCCATACAAGTCTTTCCAGGTTTTTCTGAAGTCTGCCTGCTCATCATTTCTTATAGCACAATAGTATTCCATTACATTCATATACCACAACTTGTTCAGCCATTCCCCAATTGAAGGGCATTCCTTCAATTTCCAATTCTTTGAAAGGCTCCATCTTTAAGATGACATTCAGCACAAAGGGCCAATAATTCAGTGACCTTGGGAATTAGGAAATTACCAGGCATAGGCTCTTCACAAAGAAAATCCTAGGGCCCCTTTCTCCTCAGATTTTGAGTGCCGAGCAAGGAAAGGCAGAGACATCAAGCTTGTCGTCACCCCATGGACTCTTTCTGTATTCACTTTACCCTTGAGTTCTAAGAAATCTGGGCTATTTTCTTTAATGATTTCTTGAAATATGACATCTAGGCTCTTTTTTTGATAATGGCTTTCAGGTAGTCTAATGATCCTTAAATTTTCTCCACATAAATTATTTTTGCTCTGCCATACCTTGAATCTTCTTCTATTTTTCCAGTCTTTTGAATTTAGTATTTTTTGTTATCTCAAGAAGTCATTAGTTTCAATTTGGTTCATTCTCATTTTCATGGAGTTTGTTGCTTTGGCAAGGTTTTGTATCCCTTTTACTGAGTTGTTACTTCCTTTTCTAATTCTTTCTTTCATGGCTCTCATTTATTTTCCGATTGTTTCCTCTAGCACTCTCATTTCATTTGTAAAATTATTTTATTTCTCTAAAGCTTCATCTCTTCCACAAATTCTAGTTGAACTTGTGCCTAAGCTGTGTTTTTCTTTGAGGTTTTGCTTATATTTTGGAGTCATTCTCTTTTTCTGAGTTGGGGTCTTCAGCATCCCAGTCACAGTAACGGCTCTTTATAATAGGATTTTTGTTTGTTTGCTCATTCTTCCAGCTCTTTTCTGACTTTGGATTTTATGATAGGGCCAGGCTCTGTATTCTGGAAGGAGTGTCTGGGCTGGCCTTAATGCTGTTTTCTTGGGGTAGTGAGTGTTATGTTATTTCAGGATCTCAGAGACAGCTGAGGTTGGAGGTCTGCAAGCTTTCAGTACTTCCCTGTTCCAGAGCAAGTCTGATCACTGCCCCCCTAGTCTGGGTTCTGAAAGTTTCTGACCTAGGTTTAGGACTGAGCAACAGGCATGTGGGCTTGCTCCTTTGAAGTTTCAGTAGATTGATGTTGGTTCAACCTCTAATAGCCATCTGGAGAGCTCTGCTGGTTCAAAGTGACAGAACTATAGACTTCTCTTTGGTCTGGGATTCCTGCCCTGGTTTTTCCTCTATGGTTTTAGACTGGGCTAGAAGCTGAAACATAAACCAGGCTCTCTGCTCCTGGGGTCTGAGCCCCATAACTGCTGCTTGTGTCTGAACTTGCACAACCTACAACCCATGATCATTCTTCATTCTTTTAGTTCAGCATTTCTATTTCAATTTAAATGTGTGTACATTTTCTGATACTAAATGTGCTTCTAGTATACAACATATTGTTGGGATCTGTTTTTTAATCTATTCTGTAAACTTTTTTATTTTTATAAGGGAATTCAACCCACTTAAATTCAATGTTACAAATGATAAATTTGATTTTGAAGTAGAAAGAGCATTGGACTTGGAATCAGCAGTGACCTGAGTGAGAATACAATATTCAACACTAGCTATGAGAACATGGGCAAATCATTTAAAACTCTTTAAGCTAATTTTATCATGTATAAAATGATGACAGTACTTATCTTGAAGGGTTGCTGAGAGGGTCAAATGAGATACTATTTAAAAAGCACTTTACAAACTTTAAAGTACTTGTAAATGTCAACTAATTATTATTAATCCAGCAAGAGGAAATGTGCTATAGTTTACAAGAGGGCCAGTCTTCTAGTCAGAAGATGAATTCAAATCCCAACTCTGACATATTGGCTATATGAGTCTGGGAAAGTAACTTAACCTAGACAACTCCATTAGACAGTAAGTTGTAGAACAGTTGCTGGCCTGCACTGGTAGGAGTTTCCTCACTGGGAATTCTACATACCCATTATATTACCACTCAGTACAAAAAAAAAATGCCTAAATGAGTTGTCATGACTAAACCTAGCCTCTCTGTACCATCTCAATATTGTAACAACACATACAACAGAAAAAGAAGGGAAGAAAAAGAAATCTTCCCAAGAAAAGTCTTGTAGAAAAACTAATAGAAATATTGAAACCAGGAATAAGATAAAGAGGTCCTAATATAACATACAAATTAATGAGAAGGTAGAGAGATAGGAGAAAGAGGGAGAAAGAAAGGAGAAATCTCCCAAAGGAAAAACAAGACTGCAATAACAAGAAATTTCAGAGTGATTTAGACTAGCCAAGTTAAATTCAGAAGACTCCTCACCAGGTTGGCTGCAGGGTTATGAACTTCTCAGCCACAGAAATGCTTAGAGGCCATCTATTGAGTTTTAGAAAAGTTTTGGTCCATGCCAATGAAGGGAGTGCATGCATGAAAGAACCATGGATTTCTTTTTAATTTTTTAAAATTTTATTTATTTTTTGTGTGTGTGAGGCAATTGGGGTTAAGTGACTTGCCTAGGGTCACACAGCTAGTGTTACGTGTCTGAGGCTGCATTTGATTTCAGGTCCTCCTAACTCCAAGGCTGGAGCTCTATCTACTATGCCACCTAGCTGCCTCTATGGATTCCTTTTTAAAAATAACTTTTTAAGAGATTTTTTTTTTTTGGCATCATCATTCTGTCCAGTATCCATCTTCATCCCTTCCCAGAAAGCCATCCCATAGAACAAATAGTATTTTTTAAGATTAAAAGAGAAAAAAATTAGTATAATTGATCAACACATGAAAAGTCTGAAAATATGTGCAATGTACCATACTCATGGACCTCTCATCTCTGGAAAGGGGTGGAGGTCTCGTCATCTCATGAGCCATGTTGTTTTTAATAATTTTGCAACATTCACTTTTGATTTTTTTATGCTTTTTTTTTCCTGTTTACATTATTGTAGTAATTGTGTACATTGTTTTCTTGACTGTTTCACTCTGCATCAGAAATATTTTTCTTGGACTTGGCTAATACAGGAATTAATTCTATTTGATTAAGCATATTTGTTACAATGGTTTTGTTTTCCTTGCTTTATTCAGAGGTGATGAGGAAAATATGAGGAGAGGTTTTTTTTTTTTTTATTAAAAATATTTTTTTAAATCACTAGTCTCTTTAAAAAAAAAATCAAATTCATGATTGGGGGAAATCCCATATATGCCATTTGTGTTCAGAAGGAAAGGCAGGCCTAATTCCTCAATGTTATACTAGATGTTGAATTGGTGACCCTTCGCTACATAATACTAAACTTTCCAGTATTGATATGACAAAGATGAATGTTCCCCTTCTTCCTTTATAAAGGAGGTGGCACAGTGGATAGTGCCAGGGTTGAAGTCAGAAACACCTGACCCTTAATAGCTATAAGACCCTGGGCAAGTCCTTTAATCTTTGTTTGCCTGTTTCCTCAACTATAAAATTAGGATAATAATAGCACCTCCCTCCCAGGGTTGCTGTGATGATCAAAGAAGACAATCTTTGTAAAATGCTTAGCACAGAGCCTGGCACATAGTAGGCATTCTGTAAATGTTGTTGTCATTCCACAGGATTGGTACAAGAAGTTGGTAGAACTTAGAATACCAGATCTATATCACACTCTAGCAATACTTCTGAGGGAAAATAAGCTTTTAGCAAAGAATCAGCAATCTTGAATTAGATGGGAATTCAAGTGGAAAAGACAGACTCAAAAATTGTTGATTGAATTCATTCTCAAATTATTAAAAATAGTAGTCCTTATATCTGGAAAAAAAATAAAAATCTTATTGATGAATTTCCAGTCTTCACTTCTATCAAAATTGGTATTTCTAATTATCACCCTGAGAAGTTGGCATGGTAGCAGAATGGTGAGAATCAGGTTTGGGCATAAATCCCGCCTCATACTAATTGTATGACTTTGGATTAGTCACTACGAGTCTATAGATGTTTTTTCACTAGATAGCCTCTATCGATACCTTCAACTCTTCTATCTATAATCCTATGAATCAAAGATTACCATGAAATACTTCATTATATTGTTACTGATTCATTGAAAATGGGGAATCCATTCACAGAATAGTTTTAATCAGGGTATTTGACCGGCCATCCAGTCCTAACAATAACCCTTGTTTTGGAGCCATTTCCCTTTTCTGTTTTAGCATATCAGAATTTGGTACCAGCCTTTCAATAGCTTTCATGATTTGACTTGAAAATTCAAGTTCTGATTTTTCCTTATTCATCCAAAATCCTTTCCCCCCCTCTAGTTGCAATTATTATTCAGGAACTCAACTACAGGCAAGAAATTGTCTAGTGTAATGGTGAGATAGTGCTTTATTTCTCTGTATTCAATAATGTCCAGCACTGTGGGAACCTTTATAGTTGCAGCAGCAATTATTTTGAGGGAACAAGGACTCCTAAGTCCTTCTTTAAGATTATAATTGATAGCTCACACCTTAAGTTAGACAGGTTTTTACTTGTATTGTTCATTCTTCTAAGATTGTAGAGTTGCATTACAAGTAAGCCAAATGAAAAGATATGCGGCAAACCTAAGCAGGCTGATGTGCACACGAACTTGATGAAATGTCAGAAGGGATGTTGGCTGATTGTATACATCTTTTGCCAGATCATCCTTTCTGCCTCCTGTGTAGACTAGGAGTGACATGGTAACACCTATACTTTAGGACCAATTTGAAAGCTGAGCAGACTAAAAAATGGACTACAGTTAGGAAGACAGTTGAGGCAGGGAGACCAAAGAGGGTCAATTGCAACAGTTCAGGAGGTGAAAGGGCCCTTATCAGGATGGTGCTAGTGTCAGGAGAGATGGTATCACAATAAATTTTTGAAGGTATAAATGACAGGACTTCACAACCGATTGGCTATGGGGAGGGCATGAGGAAAAATAGAGGGCAATACCTAGATTGTGAGACTGTGTGACTAGGAGAATGGTGGTATCCTCACCAGTGATAGGAAAAGTTAAAAAGGGAAGGTTTAGGGAGAAAAGATGAATTCAGTTTGGACAAGTTGAGTTTAACATGTCTACTGGACAACCATTTCAAGATGTCCAATGTGCACCTGGAAATAGGAGACTAGGGGTTGGGGCTGGATAACTGAGAATCATCTGCATAGAGATAATCATTGAATACAAGTAAAATTGTATAGAGGGAAAAGAAGGCTCAGGATAGATTTGAAGGACCCTCACAGTTAGCAGGGATGGCCTGGACAAAAATCTACTAAAGAAAACTGAAGGGTAAGGCAAGAAAACAAGGAGAGTATTGCCACAAAAAACCCAGAAAAAGAGAACACGATGAGAAAAAGCCATTAGATTTGGCAATATACCATACAATAAAATCTTTATAGAGAGCAGTTTCAATTGAATGAGATTGGAAGCCAGGCTTGAAAGTTAAGTGAGAGGAAAGGAAGTGGAAGCACCCATTGTAGATGACTTTGTTTCAGAAGCGGAGAAGAGATATAGGATAATGGAGATGGATGGACTTCTTGAGAATTTGGGGGAACAGAGATATCAGTGCATTTCAGATAGCAAAAAAAGACAGGGACTGAGATTTAAGATTAGCAATAGGGATGATGGTGGGGGGGGGCAACTGCTGGAGATGTGATGGAATGGGATCATTAGTGCACTTAAATATAAGAGTTCGTTTTGGCAAGAAGGGCCACCTTTTTACATGGGGGTTTTGAAGATCGTGACAAAAGGCATGAAACAAAAATGAGGGAAGGAGCTCTCAGTGAATGGCCTCTTATTGTTCAGTTGTTTCAGTCACGTCCAACTCTGTGACCCCAGTTGGGGATTTCTTGGCAAAGATGTTGAAGTAGTTTGCCACTTCCCTCTCCAGCTCATTTGACAAATGAGGAAACTGAGGCAAACAGGGTAACAGGGTTAAGTGACTTGCCCTCATATAGCTCTTGAGTCTGAATTTGAATTCCTGTCTTCCTGATTCCAGGCCTGATGCTCTATCCCCACTGGGTCACCTAGCTGCTCCAAGATAGCCTCATTTTTCATTCTTCTTATATCGCAGAATTATATGGAAAGCCTCCTACAATACAGCAGACATGCTATTTCCCAAGTTTTACTTGAACAACATAGAAAACTTGAGGTTCTGAATCATATCTTAAACAGATTAAAACTACAACGTTGGTTAGAATTACTCTTTAAGTTATTTATGCCAGCATGTTGAATGAATTAAAACGTTCACTTTTGGGTTTAGGAGATACAGTGAAAAGAGTCCTAATTTTGAGTGAGAAGACCTAGGTTCTTATTCTATTCTGATCTAACCTCTTCATTATCTGCATGACCCTGAGCAAGCCACTGAAGCTTTCTGGGCCTTATTTTCCTTTATTTGTAAAAAGGTGAGAGTCTGGGAGTGCCAGGGATTAACTTTTTATGTATCATAAACCTTTTCAGCGCTCCAGTGAATATGTACTAGATTTACAGAGGAAACTAATTTATATATACATATACATATCTATATATATCTATATATAGATATAGATAGATAGATAGATAGATATATGTAAAAAAGTTCACAGGTCCTTCCTACCCAGATTAAGAACCCCAGGATTAGATAATCTCTACAATACTTTCCCCCTTACTAACCAATTTAGCTTCCATTACAAAATATGAAGTGATTAAAAACCAGTGCCAAAAGTTCTAATTATAGATTAAATTAGGCAAATAGGCTCAGTCTATTCAATAACAAGACATTAACATGGAACCCTTTATTCATAATGGGATTTCTGTACATTAGGCGCAAGGGTGCATTATTAAAGTCCTATAATGAATGGAACCGAATCACTAGAAGAAACATCAACAAAACCAAACTGGCATATGATAAAATCCA